CAGGTCTCCTAACAAAAACTGAGCATTCAAACTTAGTTACAATTCTCACCCTCAGCATTATAATCTTCTCCCCTACCATGTTTATTTCTTAATGCTGCATATTGGCAAATGATCTCAAAGTTTTAAACAGTGCAGTTTTAAATTTCTAAACTAACAAGTACACAAATCACCTGTAGATCTTCTTTAAATGCAGATTCTGATTGAATAGGTCTAGGTAGAATCAGAGATCTCTCACTTCTCACAAGCTCCCAGGGGATGGAGATGCTGCTGGTCCACAAGCCATGGTCTCTGTCCAGCGCCCACAAGCCACCTACCAGGGGCGCAAGGACCCTCATCAGATGCTGGGTATGGACTCTAGGCTTCTGTGTGAGGGGGCCCACTTGAAAGAAGAAAGAACCTGCTGTTCTCTTTCAGGTGATTGAGACAGGACTGTTTCTTACTTAAACATTATTTACAAGCCACAGATTGATTTTATATTTTGATTTTCAATATTTCCTGTGTTTTCATAAATGTATTAGTGTGAATAAAGAAAGAATGAAACAACTAACTCTTAAGCATTAAAATCATATGTTTGACTATATTTAAAAAGTAAGAAATAATAGAATGTCACATGAGTTGCCCCGACCGCCAGCAGTGAAGAAGATGGAAAGGAGGAGCTGCCCAGAAAGTTGTAAGAATAATGATTCTCCCACAGGACACAAAACTACCTTTTTATTCCTGTTTCTTTCAATGCAAAGTGTTCAAATGATATTAGCAGGCTAAACCTGTGGTGCCGACAGGTGAGTGTAGACATATCCTAGGAGAGTTCGTGCCTGGGGCCAGGCACAGATGGCTGTCAGTGATCTTGTTCGGCACTGAAAACCTCCTGCAGCATGAGAACCAGAGCAGAATATAATTTAGACCATGTTGGGAGCAAAATAAAGTGGGAGAGAATTTTATTTTTAAATGTTCACTCTCCAAAACAGAAATAAACAAAAACAATCTATCTACATAGCATCATGTTCCCCCGAGGCAAACAATCACATCTATGCCTCAATTGCTTTCAGTGCGAGCTCTGTGTGAAGGAAGATAATTAAGTACTGTCCTGCCCAGGAGCAGGGGGATGGGTAAAATGACCTCTTGAAGTCCCAATCCTGTAATTTAGGAAATGGTAGCTGAGTCCTTCGGTACAACAACAGAAGTGGGTAGAGGGGTGAGCAGGCTCTGGTAGCCAACAGGCATCATATTTTAACCCTCAGTGTGCTGTGCCAGAATGTTAGCAGGGAAAATGTCTTTGCTTCTAATATCTGCAAGCATCCAAATTCCTGTGACCCTCTAACTTAGTGGAAGTCGTCATGTAATTAGGACATTCCCCAAGAAGTCTCAGAATCTTGTGAGTAGCTGAACTGACTGGTGAACAAGCACAGATTTTTTTAGCTTGTAGTTTTACAGGAAAGAGACAGAACCAAAGGCCTTAAAGTGTTTTGAGAGATCATCTTGCCTTAATGACTCAAGACAAATTAATTAAGACTAATTTCAACTAATCCTCAGTTATCCAGAATGGTGTTGGCTGAGAAAGTTTATTTTAAAAATGTATGTTGTAAGAGTTCATACCAACACAATTTACAATAGCCAAGTGCTGGAAGCAACCTAAGTGCCCATCAGTAAATGAGTGGATAAAAAAAAAAAAACTGTGGTACATTTACACAGTGGAATACTACTCAGCAGAATGGAAGAAGGAACTCCTACCTTTCACAACAACATGGATGGAACTGGAAAGCATTATGCTGAGTCAAATAAACTGAGTGGTGAAAGACTATTACCATATGATCTCACCTATAAGTGGAACCTAGTTAACAAACCAAACAAGCAAGCAAAATATAACCAGAGACATTGGAATAAAAAACAAACTAACAGTGACCAGAGGGGACGTTTGAGGGGATAATGGAGAAAAAGAAGAAAGATCACCAAGGAACGTATATAAAGGACATACGGACAAAGCCAAAGGGGGGTAGGATCAAGGGTGGGAGGTGGGGATAGGCGGGGTGGGGGGAAATAGAGACAACTGTACTTGAACAATTTTTTTTAAAGAGTTGATAAATTATACTCTATCTGGATGATTAGCTTTCAAAGCATTAGAATACCTGATCCTGAACTCTGTTGCTAACTGTTCCTGGCTGTTTTGTAATGTGTAGCATTAGTAGGAAGGAAATTTGGATGAGACTGAATGACTTTGCAAATCTATTACCAACTACTAAAAACCAAACCAAACGAAAAGTCAAACTCACCTACCAGTGGGAGTCAGAAAATCTTTATGGTTGATAAAGAAGATACATTATCATGAGTTTGTTGTAAGTTATGTTGTAACTTACAACATTACAGACGCTGTGACATGACACATTTCTATGCAGTTTAGAGCAGGCTGTCAATTGCCAGTTCAGAATCAGTAACACAAATGTGCAGCCACAACCAGTTCTTCCTGCCATACCCTCACTCAGGCTCCCAGACATTCCCTTCATGGAACTGAACAGCTTACAATTCGTGGGCCCTCCGGCCCTTCTTGCAATTCCATGTGGACAGAAACCTCTTGCTCTTTCCCTCTTGAATCCACAGCACTTCTAAGCTGAGTACCTTACATGTAGTAGGTCTTGCTAAATAGTCATAGGATACATTTTAAATAAATTTTGGATTTTTACATGTAAATTTTTCTTGAACTAACAGGGGTTCGCTGACCCTTTGATAAAGACATTTTGTAGGTGGAGTTCATTTTAGTCATAGGAATGGTGTATTTAAATATTAACACTTTTCATAAGTCTGTTGGCTTTATCTGTGGAACTGATTTCTCATTGTCCTACTATTGTAAACTAAACAAGTAAATTGGTCCCATGTTATGGATGATGAGAGAGAAGGACAAAGATTCCCAATTAGCAAAATTAATATCTGAGATAAACAGGGAATTAAAAGCCAGATATGTAATGAATTTTTAAAATATTCTGTTACCTGTTCAACCACGAAGTACAACTCCCTCCATTACTAGTAGAGTTCATTCATTAGCTCAATTATATTAATGGAAGCACTATTTAAATCACATGAATGCCTAATGACTTATTTTTAAATTTACAGGTACAGTAAATATACAGTATATAAATACATCTGCATGCAATTAATATATAGCAATTAAATTTTTATTTTCTTTTTTATGTTGTAACTTACAATATTTTTTCTATAAAAAAGAGAAGCAACTCATTAAAAAATATCAAGGCTGATTTTTTTAACAAAGCATTCAGATGCTAAAAAACTGAATACTTCATAAAGAAAATAGGTTGCTCTCCCCTAAAATTGCCTCTAATGTTAGCTGAATATTAATAAAATCCATAAACCATTAGTACATTATAGCTGCTTTGTTCTGAATTACATAGACCTTTTATGTTTATTCCTCAGTGAAAATGCATAAAAAAATGAAATCCACTCTAATTGTACTCTCTGAAGATAGCTGGTAAAATCATCTCTAGCAGCTATAAATCAATTGTAGTATTAAAATGACCTGCCAGGTGCATCTTCTGGGTATCAGACTAATTAAGGGAATGTATTAATTGCAACAATTCATCAACACCACCAACGTTGTTAGGTAACCCTTACAATGAATCTTTTTTACCATATTATCTAGCAATAAAACTGCAGTTGTATAAAATGTGATGGGAAAAGAGAGAGAAAGAGAAAAAGCCGAGAGAATGGCTTCTGCTTCTGCTTCTGCTCCTGCATTTCAAAAGGTCTTACACGGAGTTGCAAGATGGCTAGCATAGAATTTTTCCTTACACAGGATCTTTCACTTGCCTTCATGCTCAGTTTCCATCGTATTTTATAACGTTTTTATCCATTGATTTTAGAAAGAGGAGGAACAGAAAGAGAGAGAAATATCAGCCGCTGTTCTCCCCACCCATGCACTTGCTGGTTGATGCTCGCATGCACCCTGACCAGAGGCGCAACCTTGGCACATGGGGACCACGCTCCAACCAACCGAGCTACCCTACTGCGTATTACAATATTTCCCTATTACCTATTACAATAGGTATTTACTACCTATTGTATTAGGGCACTAATGTATTTTATTTTATAAAATGATTTTAATATATCTTAATAAGTCGATTCTGGATTTTAAAACCCATTTATTTTATTGCTTTTATTTTAGTGCATGATAGATAAATATGTACACTTGTGTGTGTGTGTGTGAAATAATATCACGTGGCTGCATAAGCACATGTGTGCATGCGTATCCTTCCTCAGGTGCAAGTCAATTAAGTTGTAATGGTAATTAGCATCTAAAGAATGTCAGAGAAATGTAGACTTTTATCTTACATAGTAAACTGAGTAGGCTTTTGAAATTAATTTCCAACAACTGCCACAGCAGTATTATATTTTCCACTCCTCAAAGGAGAAATGTAAAATTTAGAAAATTGTTACAAAACTCAAAGTGTTTTTTCTTTCTTAAAGAGCCAAATTCTTAGCGTATTAAGTGGCTCACTAGTTTTAAGACTGATATTAATTCACTTTGTCATTACGGTAACCTTTTCTTGAGTTTGGTTCTTCTTAGCACTCTACATAATACACGTGACAAAATGACACACTCCAAGAAAAAAGGAACTGCTATTTTCTACTTTCCTCGTGTAAATCACTCGCAGACTCTGAACTGACCCTGAATATTCCTGAACAAACTATTCTCAAAGCTGGTTCTAAACTTCTAACAATATGATTCCTTTCAGATCAGGTCTTGTCAATCTGATACTTTTTTGGAGCTTCTTGGCAAGAAATCCATTTCTTATTTAGAATATTCTGAGTCTCCAGAATCCACAGTAGTTCGAGGGTGACCCCACATTACACTAGCACATCTGATCCCCCTACAGTAAAAACCCAGGGAGACTAAGAGACTGCAGTTGGCAGTCACTGCAGCGCACTCAAAGGCACCAACAGGACCAGCACTATTATGAATTGCTTCAACACAAGTTTCATACTGGTATTTGACCATGACCAAAGAATCTCAGGTAATGCTGGCATCTAAGGCTTGGGCCGAAGTAATGGTCCTCCTCCTGCACGGTTAGAATTTTAAGGTGGGGCAGACAATTTGTTTAACAATTGCCCTAAGACTAAGAAGAGTCTCCTGCATCCCCCAAAAGAACACCCTGGAGAGAAGAAGCCGCTGACGGGCTCAGTTTGGAACGGTGGCTTGGTTGGATAAATTCATCAGTTCACCCAAAGTCAAAAGCCCATATCAGGGATTGGAGCTCTAAATTCACTCTTGCTCTTCATTTCCCAAGGAGCAAAAATAGAAGAGAAATTTAAAAAGGACTGAAGGGTAAAGGGGCAGACAAAACTTCCCACATAAGGGCAACAGGGGCAGAGCCCCAGGCCAGAAAGCCCAACAAGTACAGGAAAGCCCTGGCGACAGGAAGTCTTTCACTCAAGCAGCTCTGCCTTCAGGGAGCAATGCTGGACATCTGAGAAGTCAGGACAGGCTTGTAGTCATTCGGAGTCTGGGAGGAAATGGGCAGCGTACTGATCTGAGTTTGCCAAGGAAAATGTTCAGGTTTCTGTTCCCTTCTAGTGGTGTACAAAAGAGGAGGGCTGAGAAGTAACTAAATCCCTTCCCTGTGAATACCTAAAATGTTTCTTTGGGTTTGAACTTTCAAAGCTAGCTCTGGATAAAGAAACCCAAAATGTTAATGTTTTAGTTCCCTTTATTGATGATTTACTGTGTCAGGCACTGTGCTGAGCACTTTGCAAATAGTTATGATCCATCCCACTATCTATCTGTACTACTTTCATCTTTATCACCATCCTAGATGAGGGAAGCAAATTTAGGGAAGATAAGTAACTTTTCACAAAATTCTATAATTAGTTGGGAAACAAGAATTTGAATACAGTTCTGTTCGATGATAAGCTCATTCTCTTATTCAGTAAGCTCTTGTTATTCCTAAATACCTTCATGGAATTTGAAATCATCTGAAATAATCAGAAACAAACATAAATTTCCCAGGATTCTCTTTTGCCACTGTTAATTTTGTTACTCAACTACCAAATAATATCCACTTGGCCTATGTCTTCCAAATTTCCTATATCTTCCTGGGAATACACTTTCAATCTCAACAATTTTCAATTTTAACATCTCTCATGAAGGCAAGACTGATGCTCTTGATACAGGGTGCAGTGGGGGGGGGGCAAAAAAAAGATTTGGAATGGTGTCCAGAATTCAAAGTGTATAGGAATATTAGAGAGACATACAAGGGGAAGGGACGAATGGACCAAGGCCATTGAGAGATGTTTTGCATAGCAATAGTTTTGCAGCTAATCTCTAGAATGATTACTTAACATATCTATAACCTTTAACTGGTTTCATAGATATGTTAAATAGCTGTGGCCAAGTTTTGAGCCAGGGAGAAGGGAGTGGCTTGGGACTCAGGATGTAATGAGGGGCTGCGCTTCTGAGTGAGAAGCACCCGTGTGAGAGCTTGGAAAAGACTGGATCCGGGACATGAGGGGAAAACTGCCCAGGTGAGAGAGAGCCAGGCGGTTTCAGCAGAGTGAGGACCCCCTCTTGGTGAGGTGAAAGAAGAAAGCCACATGGTTTTGGCAGAGTGCGGACCCCCTCTTTCCCAGGTGAAAGGGAAAACCACGCAGCTTTGCCAGAATGGAGATCCCTGCAGCCAGGCAAAGAAGAAAGCCACACGCTTTTGGTGGAGTGAGAACCCTGCAGCTTTGGTAGAAGAGGCCCATGTGGCTTTGCGGTGCCCCCTTTGGCCGCGGGGCCTGAAAAGCAAGAGAGACCTTGACTGAAACTGGGTACAAAGAACTCTTGCCGGTGGACCATGTACTTTGGATTAACTAGAGAGATCCTGCCTGCATGGTGACACAGCTGACGGTGCCAGCCACCTACAACACAGACATGTGCTCTTTTCCTGATTTACGATACCTGGAGTTGGGACAGTGGGAGAAAGGAGAGCTGTGCGGGTATAGGTGTGTACCCTAAAGGACTTTGATATTTTAGTAGAGGTATTAGACCTGAATAGCATTAAATAAACATTTTGTTTCCTTTTCACAAATCTCTGGCATTGAGAGATGTCTTTCCAATTGGCGGCGGACAGAAGAGCCCAGTAGATTTTTAGTATTATGTCCTCGGGAGGGGCCCCTATTGTATAGCAGTTTTGGGCATCCCTAGGTGGGCCAAATATTGTATTGCCCCTCCCTTGGACCTCTTGTTCAGTAACATTCTCTCTCCCCATTAAATGAAAGTTTAAATCTTTTGTTCATACCATATTCCTTCATTAAAAAAAACCATAAATACAGAATTTCATATCTTTTTTTCTCACTCTGATTTTCACTTCATGTTATTTCTGGAAGATTTTCCATATAAGCAACAGTGACAAAATGTTGATATATTAATAATCATCATATGTAGAGCTTAAGAAATCCAGAAAATTTGCACAACACAGAAAAACAAAAGAGGCATGCTTCCTCTCATTCAAAGTCAGGCTAGAACATGACAAAGAAGCACACATCAGACCATAGCTTTAAAATCTATGCTCTTGGGGCTAGAGTGACAATAACTATAAATGTACTGACTGACTGAAGATACAGTGTTTTCCATACAATCAAAACAACTGTACCAAGTTTTCAAATATTCTTACTTAAAGAAACAAAGAAATATGTCATTTAGAAAGTCTTATGCACAATCAGGGTCAATTCACTTATTGGTACTAATCAAGGAGAGTAGAATAGGAAATAATCCCAAAGTCACTTTGGGTTCTGAAATAAGTGCGTTTGGGTATTTGTTTTTGAATACCATGATGCTGCATGGACTTTCTTTTTTAATTTTTCTATTCTTTATAAGTTCGAAAGGTAAAAAAATGCTTTGATCATCTTTCAGAAATATCCATTGTATAGTTGTTGTTTCTGGACAGTATACAAAACAAAACAGACTTTATTCAGCAAACATTTGTAAGTTATTCAGTTTTCCTAGTTGGTCCTGTTGGTTGACACCTTCTTGAAATTCTTTCCATGCAAGACATAATGAACTCCCACTCAAGCTGACATTTTGTATGGCTCTTCATCTTTCTGTGTATAATAACAAAGGCACGATTATCTCTGACAACACGCAAGCTCATAAATATAGTATCTTATCTCGCACGTCTCGTTTTTTCACCCTTGACACAGAGTTCATCATCCATTAATTCTTTCAAATTCATTCATGGTCAGGTCCTATCTTTACCTATGGGATATAAAACAGCATTTTTCAAATATTTCTGCCTCCCCATTCTCCACTGCATCTTATAGGTAAAGGTATTTATTCGTCAAACATTTTTATCATGTTAGTTCACCTCTCTGGTCAGGTCTTGGGCCCTACATCTCTGAAATTCAAACTACAATTCCAAACAAAAGTTTTAAGCAGCATCCTTTAGAAAATATTTTCTTAGTCTTCTGAAGAAAGTCAGTTTTTTCTTTCTCATTGACACCACTGTACCTCATGCACATCTCAATTTTATTCTGTAACAAAAATACTCTATAAAAATACTTTTTACTCTCTATAAATACTCTATAAAAATACTTTTCACTCTGAAGGGTATAGGTTCATTATTTGATGCCTCATTAAACTGTGAACTCCCTGAATGCAGGAATCATGATTTATATATCTTATATATCCAGCACTTAGGGTTTTGTGTCTTATAAAGAGGCACTCATTCAATGTTTGTTGAAAAAACAAGTGAAGACTCTATTAATCGCCATCAGCACATTTGCCATTCTTCCTCTCAGCTCTATCCAATGGGTCCTGCTTAAAAGATCCCCTACAAAATTAACTTTATCTTGCCCTTAAATTATGACACAGACATGTCCTTTAAATGTGAGTGACCTTTCCCCTTCTCTATCAACAATGACCCTTTCAAAGTGCTGATCAAGACTAGCCTCAACCCATTTAAAAAAGGTTTGTATCCCACCTGACTCTACAAGTCATTTTGCTATTTGCTTGAGGATGAGGAGGATGATGATGGTTGAATACCATTAAGTACAAGCCTCCTATGTTAATTGTATATCATTTATTAATTTTTTACAACAGTTTGAAATATATGAAATGAATGTAACATTATACCCATTTACAGATGAAACGACTGAGGCTGAAATCATAATCAATGGCCCATTAATGCCAATATTTTTCATGGAATTGTTTCTGCTTTTCATGGAATTATTTTTCTAGGATACAATCTTGTATTAAAGAATGAACCAGTTCTCTAGAGCATGAGCTAGCCTTCTGAGTCCTACCATGACCATTTGGGATCTACAGAACCATTCAAGGAGTCTGACCTTTATCCCGCTAATTCATAAAAAGATGAGACATCTAAGAACTGAGTAACCTTTTCCTTTCCCCGCCCACATTACATTCTACATGCAACCATTAGTAAATGGCTTTGATGACAAGGGCGTTTATAATAGTAGCTTCTCTCTACATGCACAATACAAAGGAAGAGAATGAATTTTATGTTCTTATCATTACCCCAAAATACCTACCAATGTTTCTTGTTTTTGGCACTGTCTGGTCTGGAATTGTATTATTTAATGTTTTAAAAAGTTAATAAATTGTTAGAAGTACTAATTAATGATGCAGCAACTGTCTATACAACTAGACCTGCTACTACTAAAGAAAAATAAGCTAAGAAAAATATAACTCTATCATGTTGCACAATGAGAGACTTTCCTGATAGAAATCCAGAAACAAAATAATTTAGAAATTCTAACATGATTTCCATTTCATTAGGGGAGGCCTATTCAGGGTAACATCATTTGAAGTAGTTGTCTAATAGAAACTTTAGCATATACCCGAGTGACCATCTTTTGTTCTTAAAATCATATGGGGGATTTGACAAACTCAGTTCCTTAATGTAGCTCTTCGGAACACTTACCTGTTACACACATATCTCTATGCTCGTTAAAACCCTCTACAGCCTTAGAACGAAAACTGAATGTCTCCTGTCAAGAAAAAGCCTTAGCACATTGTAATATAACCAAATGTTATCATTTATCTTTTGACCGCCCAGGAATTTCCCTGTCAGGGCGCTATTTCTAACTGGTCTAGTTACATTCCCTGGTTTTTGCTTCTGCCACAGCCAGAAGGGGCTCCTAGAAATTATCGATCAGCTGTGTCCCTGCAGTGAGAGTCTGAATGCCATGCAGTAGCATGCTTGCCAGGAAAGTGCAACACGCTGCAAGTGGTGGTGGAATTCCCACCACACTGGTTTCCTTTAGGTTCACTGATGCTTCAAAAGAAAGTCTGAAAAGCAGACAGGCAACTGATGTGGATGGCGAGAGAAGGAAACACAGGTGGGATTTAAGGGTAACATCAAGAAAACATTTGTTAAAAAACATAAAACTCTCTCGGGCGCTTGTAGGCACCTTCTCTAGCACTGCCATTTCGACAACACCCGCTCTCTGCAGTCCTTTATTCTCCGATCTCCTCAAAGGGCTACTGAGCTGAGAGCAATCACACAACAGGGAGTACTTATGTCAGCCCCACGCACATTTCTGTGACCTGAAATATGAGGTGTGGCTAACTAGACCTCACTGTTGCCAGGGTCTACATATTTTATCCGCACGCTCACTCCCTAGAATTGTTCTCCTATTACTGCCCTGATTGTAGCTAAAAACAATAAATGAAAATATGCTGAAAGATGACAGTCTAAAGTCATAATGGAAATTACAGGCACATAAAGTAGCACCGAGGTGCCCAGATGGCCATTTGACTAGGAGTACAGATGTCCTGTCCAGACAGCCGAACAGCCCGCGTCTCCCCCTCTCTGCAGCTGTGAAGTGTATACTCTCAGCACATTGGAACCTTCAAAGCTTGCAAGTTGGTTTTCCCTGCAGCAATTCCATGGCACCTTTTGAACTCGTAAACACCAAGTTACTGGGACACAGTCCACTGCCAGTAGCAGTCCCAACAAGCTAGGTGGCTGCCCAAGCTAACATCACATAAATAGCTAACTACGTCTTATGTCAAACCTGTGTCATGGAATCTCACTGGCGGTACTGGACTGTCTAATTCTATCCTGTCTCCTGGATAGGCTGCCGATTAGTTATTTCTGAGCATTTCGGTGAAAAGACATGACTAAATATTCTTTGGGGGAAATAAAGTTCTGTTCCAAAATGTAAGGACTGGTAGTCTCTGAAGAAAATGATTCCCCGGTTAATACATGTGGGAAGTTCTTGACCACATCTGGAGACATATAGTAATAAAGTCTGGAATCTCTTTTCAATGTTTCATGTAACAGTTTGGAAATCATTGTGTTATTCATCTGAGATGGTGAAAATTCTTGTGTCCCTCTCTTTTTTTCATGTGAATTTTCCTTACTTTAATTTCATTATCTGACATAAAGGCAAAGACAATTCAAATTCAGGTTGCACCAGGCAATATTAAGAAGTATTGTCTTCAAAGGTCACGGCTGCCACGAGGCCAACATTGTGAAACTTGGGATTGGGTTGCTCCCTGCAGTGCTGTGAGGATGTTGCTGAACTAGTCCCCAAAACCGAGTCTGAGACGATGATCGTAGACAACTGCTGCATACAGCTGGTGCAGACTCCTTACCAGTTTGATGTGCTGGTGCTGCCCCATCTCTACGGGAACATTATTGACAACCTGGCTGCTGGCCTGGTTGGGGGAGCTGACATGGTACCTGGGGAGAGCCGCAGCGCAGAGTATGCCATTTTTGAGGTGGGTGCCCAGGACCCATTCGCCCAGGCAGTGGGCAGGAATAGAGTCGACCCCACAGCCATGCTGCTCTCACCTTCCAACATGCTACGACGCCTGAATCTAGAATATCACTCCAGTACGACTGCAGGTGAGGTGAAGGAGGCGATCAAAGTTGACAAGGTGCAAAAAAGATACGGGCGGCTAGAGCACCACAACGGACTTCATCAAGTCTGTCATTGCCCACTGGCAGCCATAGGGGCCTAGAGCCCTTTGGTCCCTCCGACCTTCTGAGGACCGCGCTACCTACCCTTCCCTTCTGGACAGAGGACCAGAGAAGAGCCCTTAAACTTATAGACCATAACCACCTTCTAGGCAAGGCCTAGGTTCGAATTCCTGCCATGGGTGGCTAGGCCACCTGCTAAGACTTCACTGAGGCTGTCATTGATGTCCTGTCCCATCCACAGCCACATAAAGGTGTCCATTAAAACTTGTACATCAAGAAAAAAAAGAAGTGTTATGTTCAAGGATGATGTTAGAGTTCCCATGCAGTGCTGCCCTTGGAGTTCATGACCTAGACACCAAGTAATTTTAAGATCCCTCCAGAACTTGGAAAACTATATTCATATGCAGGAGAACAAGACAAACCCACTTCCCACTGGATGTGATTTTTATCATTATGCCTTTTGGGTAGTGAATTTTTTTTTATTTTACATGATTGCAGCATAAGCTACCTGCAAATGTATACTCCCAAATTCTTCCCAACATTTACCAGCAACAGTATCTTTGCTTGGATTTATAAAGTAAAACAAGCACACATCCAGCAAACTGCTTTTGGCAAAGAGCAGCAATTCTCAACCAGCACGCAGGGGCAGGCACACCGATGTGTGGCGAGAATTTTTAAAACATGCAATATTGCTTACCCCATGAGTAAGTCTCAAATATGCATTATCTCAGGTTTGCTATTCCCTCTTATGCACTGACCTCTTTTCCTTTAGATTGTCAAGTAAAAAAAAAAAAGACAATAGCCAACACAACAATAGCTGTCCAGTGTGAATCAATCAAAATCATACCTATTTTTGTCAGATAGGTAAAACATATAATATTTATATATCTATATATATACATATATATATTTGATATACCGCAGAATTTATAATTAGTTTGTGGCTGGTGTGCCATGAGATGAAAAAAGTTTGAAAATCTCTGGTATAGAGGACAATTAAGTCTTACCCTCTACTTCATCAAATCTCTTTCATTTTGGTTACTTTTCCGTGCATTGCTTCTCTAGCCACCCAGATCCAAAACTTTCTTAGTGCCTTTTGACATCAATTGGTGAATTTAAATGCCTTGAGAGTTTCATGCCTATGCTAAAACTAGGGAATTTCTTCACTCTTTTCCTCTCTTGTACTTTTCTTATCTTTTTACCTTTCCTGCGTCCTCTATCTCTTACTCATCCCTTTCACCTTCTTCTCCCTGGGCCTCACATGGTTGATCCGCTGGCCACAGCCCAGCCATCTGATAGCTATATCTGAAAGTAATTTGGGACAGAAACAAAAGCCTCCAGAATCCTTAGTAATCCTCTTCAGATCCGGCTACTGAGCACTGGTTAGGCTCTCCTGCACAGCCAACAGTCTTTTCAAGCAACAACCTTGAAAATTGAAAACCGGTTAGAGCATCTGTGGAATAACATGAGCCCTGAAACAAAAGCATACAAATAGAAAAGAAAATGTCTTTCCAGTGATAAATGAAGGCACTGCTGAAACAATTGAAAGGAGGAGAGGCTCTGGGTGATCTCTGTTGATGGGCCTCAAAGTGGCTGGTGCTTAGAAGCAGACTGGTTATTTTGCCTGCATTTCAGGTGCCCTTAGGCCTCTGCCCTGAAGGCTGAGCAGCTTACTCTACTGCACAGAGCTTCCTGTCTGAGAGGGAATAGCAAACCTGAGATAATGCATATTTGAGAGTAACTCCTGGGGTAAGCAATACCTGCACAGAGCATTCCAGCTCAGCAAAGCCTGCTACTGTGCTTGAGGGACCCTAGCTGTACAGGCATTACAGCTGAGGCTGCCTCCCTTTTGACTTTCTGTCCCCACCCTCCACTAACACCCTCCCCCTCCTCCCTGGGGAAAGATGACTGTGCCTCCCCTTTGACTCGCTTTCCCCTGAACTACCTCTCTTCCCTCTTTTCCTCTCTTTCTGACCAAACTGCATCAAGCCAAAATGTTTGACAAGGATCTACAAATATGCCAAGTAAAACATTTCTGCTGAGCCACATTTAGAAGAATTCTCTGCCTTTGTTGAGAACATCTGTGTAACGATTCCTAAGGTTCAACATTCTCATTTCTGCCTAATACAAGGGGCATTTTTAAGGAGGCGGTTTTATTTGTGTGTGCCAGGCTGCCACCCTTAAGAGTTTCTAATGTGATGAACAGAATCCATTTCCAAGAAATTCAAGTCACATCGCCCATTGCCTCCTCTTAATACACTCTTCTCTTTCATGTCTTATCCTCAGTCTCTTCCTCACGTCACCCCTCCCATTACTCCCTTACACTGTCTTTCATTTTTAAGCTCTCTTCTCTCCTGTTTGTTTTTTTCTGGACTTCCCCAACTAAAATGGATTCTTCATCTGGGCATTTCTGACCATCCTAACAATGCATGCCATCTCCTTTCCCATTTCCTCTCTGTTCTTCACCCAGGCTCATCCTCTGGTCCCAGGAAAACCAAGCTCTGCGAGACTGGGACAAGGATCAGGAGCAGGAAATTTAACAATGGCAGAGCTGTGACAAGTTAATTCAACTCCTGCTGTTAAATTAACCAGCGTTCCAGCCGAGTTAACGCGTCACCCAGTTTCAAAAGGTTAAGCTCCAAGCTTAATCTTATTCATCATTATGAACTCTTCAAATTGGCTGAAATATTTAAAATTCAGTGAAATGAAAGGACCGCAGGAAACATTTAAGAGCCTACTGCCCAGTCTTCAAAAAATAGAAAAATAATCTACAAAGATTAGGAAAAGAAGGCTTCAGAATGGGTGAATGGAGACACTTGAGAACCAGGGTAGAGTGAATAATAAAAGGACATGGAGGACAAGGGCATCTTATCTTCCCACTATCATAAAGAGATTCAGGCGTTAGGAAGAAATTTAATGGAGCACCCTGAAAATGCTTGTCCTATCTCATCATAAGCAACAGAGCAAAACTGAATGCTAATGAAAAGGGCATGTGCAATAATACCTCCTGAGCCCTCTCCTCTTCGGACTTCGGACACAGATGGGAGGTGGGCCACAGCCTGCTCCCCAATTATCACTGATGGTGGGGGGAGACCACAGCCCCCTGAGCACTCTCTCCTCAGGCTCCGTGACAGCAGAGAGCCCATATAAATTTTGAGAGAAAGAACTCTGCGGCAGAAAATAACACCAGAGGTGCTGAGTACAGCATTTCTTACTTAGCACAAGGTTTAGTATACAGTAGGGCTTAAGAAAGGTTAACTCTATCTCCTTACTACCACTACTACTACTATTACTGCTACTTCTATTACATACTTTCAGTTATAAATCTCTGTAGACTTTTGTAGAGTATAACAACTGAGATGGGGGGAACTGATATTTCACATACACCCCTTTCCCTCCTCAGTCTCTCACCCCAAGCTGAGTGTATGGGCTTGTTTAAAATGTTCCCTCACATGGGCATAAGTTCCTGCTGCCAACTTTGCAGCCCAGACCTCTTCACACAGTTAGCCACGGTTTGCCCAGGCTGGTACTCATGCTTCAGTTCCTCCCTGCCCCTGTTTGCCAACTACTACACGCTGTCACGGAATCCTGCATGTTCCTCCCCCCTCTCAGGAACCTTTCACATGAGAGCCGTTCATCCTTAAATTGCCAATGTAATCACACTTCAACTTCTCACAAGACATAGTTTTAGAACTCCTAACTATATTGCTTTGTTGATTATCTATTTGATATGTTTGTGTATTTTATTGGATCATAGGTATCTACAGAAAAAAGACAAAACCTGTCTGGTTTTAGTACACACTCTGAAAGCCTAATACAATTTCTCCATCTTTCAAGTTACCAATAAATAAGAATAGGTCTATGAGCATCTGTAGACCCTCCATGTTAATTTTGTGCTATATTTATTTTTACTCTCTCCCTTCTTTCCTCTTCCCCCTTCTCCTCCTTCTTCTTCCTCCCTCTCCTTCTCTCTCTCTCTCCCATCCCTCTCTCTTTCAGACACTCAAACACACCCAAACACACAATATAGTCCTTTCCAATCCATATGCTGGCTTTAATTAGTTGTTCTAATCTAATTATACTGGCTTAAAGATTATATAACTGTTAACAGCAGTGAAGATGGTTGAGCAGCTTGCCTTGACTGCACCAGCTATGCCCCTAGTATCTCCCCATTAAACCGATACTGAGTTGACTGATTGAATTTTTCAATAATGGTCAAAACATCTTTGCCCACCCCAAAAGCCTTTACACCATGGGAATTTGCCACTCCTCTGTTAACAGATGGAGTTGAGTTCCCCTGTCCTTGAATTTTGGTCTGCCTTAGTGACTCAGGTGAAACCAATAGGATGTAGGGAAAGTGAGTTGCGTGACTAGCATTACCTATGGGTATCTTTTGAACTTGAATGTAATAGCATTTCTTGGGCTTGCATTAATATTACCTCAAAGATGGGTGAGACTCCTTCATCCACATGCCAACATTAATCAGTTCGATAGACATGTTCCCTGCTTCAGAATTGAAACTAACTCTAACCTGCTAACTCACCCTTTCTCCTCAGTGTTCCTGTTTAATTGAATAAATACTCGTTCCAGTTTTTTGCACATTTGGCAGAACTGACCACACTTACTTTATCTTACAGTTTTTGAACACACAGATTCTGACTTCTATTTTTACATGATAAAACTCTCCAGAAATCCAAACCAAAGCCTAAACCTGAAACTACAGTATTAGAATATAAAAACTTATAGATTAATCGTTACTCACTGAAGGGTCAATTGAGTCCAAAGTATCACTGGGAACAATCTGACTTTGTCCTCAGTTCTCCATAACTGAGCTCTGGCCAGTGACTGAGTTCCTATCTGGAGCCCCCAGTTCCACAAGGAAGACATTTCCTGTCTTTGAAGGCCAGTTTTACTTCGGAGACAATTTGATTTCAGACTTTGTTCGCAATTGTTTTTCTAGGTTTCTGTTACCCCGGGATTACCAAGGTCAGTGCTGCTCAAATGGTGTTTCTTTTGTGTCAGAATCGAAAAGC